CAGACATTTTCTCTGGAGATATTTATCCAAACACTTTCTGAAAGGCACAACTACGTCTACTTTCGCCATACTCTCAGGCAGATCATAGAATCATATAGTACAGAAGAGGTCTTTCAGCACATCAAGTCTGTATCGACATAAACCACTGTAAATCTGCTCTACACTGCCACTTCTCCGCACTTGATCTGGAGACTCGAATGTTATGATATTTAAAGTGCTCATTCAAGTGCCACGACATTCCAGATCTGAACCATTTGCTGTGTAAAAAGCCTTTCCTTGTGATGTTGAGGTATTAGGAACTGCCGATGCTGGAGAATCTGAGATAACAAGGTGTAGAGCTGGATGAACACAGCAGGCCAAGCAGCATCAGAGGAGCAGGAAACCTGATGTTTCAGGTCTGGACCCTTTTTTAGAAACCAGAAACGTCAGCTTTCCTGCTCCTCTGATGCTGCTTGGTCTGCTGTGTTCATCCAGCTCTACACCTTGTTATCTCCTATTTCCTTGTGATGTTGACGCTTTTGTCAATATCCCATGATTCTCAACCGTAACAATGGGAAAAGCATGTCCCTCCTCTGCTACAATCACTCAAGTTGTTGAGGCTTTATCAAATTTTCTTTTAACCTTACCTTTTAACTATTTGAAAGCCCCAGTTTCTCTACTATTGTCATAGTTGAAGTCCCTGGATCCATTTGTGAAATCATTTATGTCCTTTACATCCTTCTTTAAGTGTGGCACCCAAAATTGGATACACTATACAGGCGAAGCCAAACCAGTGGTTTATAAAGGTTCACCATAATCTCCTTGCTTCCATTTAAAGTGTACAGGGTCCCATATACTTTATTAACCACTTTTCCAACCTGCCTTGCCACCTTTAATGATTTGTGCATGTACTGTAGGTCCCTCTGCACCCTCTTTGATATAGTACTCTTTATTTTATATTACCTTATTCAATCCCTACCATTGTAGAAACAGGCCATTTGGCCCATCAAATCTACACTGATCCTCCAAAGAGCCCATCCCATACCTATACCCATCCCCATCCCCCTACCCTTTCCCTGTAACCCCACATTTCCCATGGCTAACACACCTAAGTTACACATCCCTGAACACTATGGGCAAGTTAGTATTGCCTGTCTACCTGACTTGCACATCTTTGGACTGTGGGAGGAAACCGGAGCACCTGGCGGAAACACACGCAGACACGGGGAGAATGCACAAACTCCACACAAACAGTCACCTGACGGTGGAAACGAACCCGGATCCCTGGCACTGTTAGCCAGCAGTTTTAACCACTGCGCCGCCCCCTCCTCTTTCTTCCTGCCAAAATTTACAACAGAAATATAGACATAGAAAATAGGTGCAGGAGTAGGTCATTCGGCCTTTCGATCCTGTACAACCATACAATACAATCATGGCTGATCATGCAATCTCAGTATCCCATTCCTGCCCTCTCCCTATATCACTCTCCTCCGTTTGGCCAAGCTCATCCTCACCCTCAACAACTTCTCTTTTAACTCCTCTCATTTTCTTCAGCTAAGAGGGGTGGGCCATGGGTACCCACAAGGGCCCCTTGTTATGCCTATCTCTTTGTGGGGTATGTGGAACATTCCTTGTTCCAGTCCTATTGCGGCCCCCATCCACAACTCTTTCTCCAATATATCAATATCATCGGTGCTGCTTCCCTCTCTTGTCTGGAATTGGAAAACTTCATCAATTTTGCTTCCAATTTCCACCCTGCCCTCACTTTCACCTGGTCTATCTCTGACTCCTCCCTCCCATTCCTCGACATCTCTGCTTCCATTTCTGGGTAAAGACTGGCCACTACTATCCACTATAAACCCACTGACTCCCACAGCTACCTGGACTATACATCCTCACACCCTGCTTCCTGTAAAGACTCCATCCCATTCTCTCAGTTCCTCCGTCTTCATCGCACATGTTCAAGTGAGGCCAACTTTGTTTCGGGAAACATTCACCTTCATCCTCAACCAAGGACTCCCCAGCTCCGTTGTCGACAAGGCCCTCAACCCGGTCCAAACCATCTCCCGCACTTCCGCCCTCACACCATCTCTTCCCTCCCACAACAGTGATAGGGCTCCCCTTGTCCTTACCTACCATCCCACCAGCATCCACATCCAGAGGATCATCAGATGCCATTTCCGCCACCTCCAGCAAGATGCCACCACCAGACACATATTCCCCTCCTCTCCCCTCCTTTTTCCACCTTCCGCAGGGACCGTTCCCTCCAGGATACCCTGGTCCACTCTTTCTTCACCCCCAACAAACCCCTGCCCTGTAACTGGCGAAGGTGCAACATTTACCTACCTCCTCCATCCCCACTATCCAAGGGCCCAAACATACCGTTATGAAGGAAGATTGGCAAATTATGGTCAGTGCTGCCCCAGTTTCTACTCACTCTTCCTTCAGTATACGCTGAAGCACTGGATTCAGTTTCAGTGACTTAAGTACAGGCAATCTTTCTAAATCACTAATTTCTATCAACTTTTAACCCATCCAGTGGTTCAACTAACTGGTTCTTCAGTAGGACTTGGGCAGCATCCACTTTTAATGCAAATATGCAAAATACTCACTTAATACCTCTGTTACTTCCTCTGTTCAAATTTCATGTTTGATACCTAATAAGCCCTACTACTCCTTTTATTACCCTTTCATGATTTATACGTTCATATTAGCTTCCAGTCTCTTCTCAGTCTTGGTTCATTTTTAAACTTTCCCACTGAATTTATTATATTCAACATTGTTCTCACTTGCATCTGCCATATACACTCATTTCCTGGTACATAAGACATGATATGTAGGTGCAGTGGTAGACCATTTGGTCCATAGAGTCTGCTCTGCTATTCACTGAGATCATGGCTGATCTGATTATCCGCAACTCAACTTTTCTGCCTTTCCCCCATAACCCTCGATCATTTTACTGATTAAAACAAAAACTGCCTCTCTCAGCCTTGGAGATACTTAATGACTCAACCTCTATAGATTCTGCAGTAAAGAATCCCACAGATTCCTCCTCTTCCCAGTTTAAAATGGGTGACTCTTTGAGCAACCCAATCTACTCAATATCGTCTCTTAAGTAAGTCCCGATTTAGTCAGAATCAATCTAATAAATGTTCTCTGGACTGTCTCCAATGCTGATTTTTTTTGATAAGGAGCCAAAAATGGGTATATTAGATCTGGTCTGACTAGCACCTTGTACTGTTTTGGCAAGAACTCTCTATTTTCATTCCACGTTCCTTGAATTAAAGGTCAACTGTCCACTTGGCTTCTCTATTACAAACTGAAATTGGATGCTAGGTTTTTGTGATTCATACATAATGACACCCAAATCTCTCTTGTATTCTTCTTGCCAAAATGCATAACCTGACATCATATTCCATTTTCTAAGTTTTCACCCACTCGCTCAATCCGTCTATATCCTTCTGTAGACTCAGTCATCTTTAAGACTTACCTTCCCACCTATTTTTGCTTCATCTGCAAAGCAACGATAGTACATTCACTTCCATCATCCAAGTCACTAATGTATATTGTAAATACCTGTGGACTCAACACTGATCCCTGTGGCACTTCATTTGCTACGGTTACCATCCTGAAAATGACTGCCTTATCTCAACTCTCTGTCTTCTATTAGTTAGCCAGTCCTCTATACATGCTAATATACTAAGCACCGTAGAGTCTTATCTTAATAAGTAGCCTTATGTGTGATACCTGATCCAAAACCTTTTGGAAGTTCAAATATATTATATCTACTGGTTCCCCTTTATCTGTCTTGTCGTTGTCTCCTCAAAGAACAATAATAAGTTTGTTAGGCCTGATTTCACTTTATGAAGCCATGTTGACTTTACTTGATTATGATATGTAGTCATTTTCAAATGTTAAAGTTAATTGACATATAGTTACCACTGTATTTCATCTTCCCTCCTTTTATGAATCAGGGTATTACACTGAGTTTTTCAATTCTCTCGCACTTTCCTAGAATTGAATATTTCTTGAAAGATTACTATCAGGGCATCCACTTTTTCTGTAACTGCTGCCTCTTAAATCCTAGGATGCGCTCATCAGACGCAGGGGACCTACTGACCTTGAACCACATTAGCTTCCCTAATATCTTTTTCTCTGGTGATAATTATTGCATTTGTTTACTCCCCCCTCTTTAGTCCTGTGATTGCTTAGTTTTTTTGGAGGGTTATTAGAGTCCCCCAGAAGGTTTTATTCTCTTATCTCTTATTATCCAGGGAGCTCAGCCTTTGTTTGTTCTACCTGCCCTCTTGTGGGAATGCAACCTGACTGTACAAGAATTATCAAACCTTCAAGTTATATTTTGTTTTAGCTGCCAATATTTGATTCCAATTTATGCGTGCCAGATCTGATCTCACCCCATTGAAAGTGGCCTTCCTTTAATTAGTTAATTTTATCTTGGACACATTCTTTCCATGGTTAACCTAAATCCTATGATGCTATAAGCACTGCCCCGTAACTGTTCCCAAATTGCAGAAGTTTTCAAAATCACAAAAAGACTAGACACATTAGATAAGGAAAAAGATTTCATTGGAGGAAGTATCAAATATAAAAGGGCTGAAAATTTAAGGTTATTGGCAAAAGCAGCAATAGCCGCATGAGGATATTCTTTTCACACAGTGAGTTGTTCAGATCCTAAATGCACTGCCTGATATTATGGTAAGGAAACTTCAATCAAGCAATTTAACAGGAAATTGGATTATTATCTGAAAAAGAAGACACAGAGCCATGAGAAGGTAGGTGAACAGCAATGGATGATTGCTTCTTTGGAGAACCAGCACAAAGACAACAGCATGGCACCCTGTGTGCTGTAACCATTCTGTGATTCTGTGACATTTGATCCACTTGACCTACCCATTCTCTAGAGCCAGATCCAATTAAAAAAAAACAAAATTTAATATGTTAAAAGCAACAAAATTTGATATTACAGAACTAAATTCATATTTGACCTATAAGGAACTTACCAGAGTTCCAAATCCAAGGGTCCAAAAATGTTCATTCCTCACTTCAAGAACACCATCTAGAGTGGAGACCTAAAAAAAGGACATTCAACTACTCACATGCACAGTAATGTTTCAAGTTTATTTACAGACATTTATAAGCAACAAACAGAAACAATATCTGATTATCTTAACAATCCACTGTAGCATTTGACAACTTACTTGCACATAAAAGCATACAAAAATGCTCTCTGGTTGGCAAAGAGCACATTATATATGTACATGTTAAACTGCCTTTTTATCTCACATAACAATTTCAAAGTATTCATGTTAGATATTGGGGCAAAATAAAGCTGGAAGTCAATGTGCTTCCTTTCCTGCTTGCTTTGTGTTGTCACAGTTTCACCATTAGCTAGGAGTCCAGCATGTCGTCCTACAGCCTTAGTGCTCAACTCACTTGAGGCAGAGGCACATTGTCAAAGGACACTACATCCTGCCATCATATCCATCATCAAGGACCAACATACCATCACCAATCTAGATGCAGCAAATTGAACTTGAAGTTTGAATTAAATTCAAAACCACATGGCTGACAGCCAAGTGCAGTTACTAACATGTCCCCAGTGAATCAACGTTTATAATTCAATGCTATCTGAGAATCTGGCGTTCAGTACTTTTTCTTTCACTAATACTTATGGGATATTAACAGAACTTCAATGTCTAGACGGTGGGGGCATGGTGGTGACCTCTGAATGCCACCCCCTACCCTTGCCTCCCAACAAATGATAAAAATGACTTACCTTCTTGATGCTGGATCCCCAGGAATAGGCTTTGACTGAGACCTGACACTGAATAAAACATTATATGTTCTCCAACAACCGACATTGCTAGTCTTACTAATTTAAGTCAACATCTTGAGGAACACTTTGCATTTACAACTTATTTTTCATGACCCCAGGATATTCTAAAACACATTACAGAAAATGAAGTACTTTTGCAGTGTAGAAAGTGTCTTTTCATATCAATTATAGGAAGTTAACATGCAGGCACTGCAAGAAATTGGGAGAGGAAATAGTATACATTCCTATTCCCAATCCACATGTTCACATGTGATGTCCAGATCACATGAAAGAGTATTAAAATATGGATAAAATGTTACTGCAATTTTTAAGTTGCCTAGTAATAATTCATACCTCTCTTAAAAGTTTGTCCAGTTGTCCAATCACATGTGAAGGTGTTGTCTGTTTAAAACAAAGTCAAATATATTTCTAGAAATCTTAGCGGCGTAGCAGCATCCTCAATTATGAATATTTATACAGGAAATATGCTTATTCACAAAATGAATTGTTTTGCCTCCCCTCATCTTAAATCCCTCGTTACTGGCTATACCATTCTCAAATTCTGTCATTGAAACCCAGTGAAAGAAAAAAAAGTAAGCCTTTGATGTTGTATGATTTAATTCTCGCATAAATACTCTTAATTCATCACCTGAAAGTTGTTTCCATCTTGACTAAGAACAGTGTCAGACCTGTTTCATCACTGTTACAGCATTTAAAAATTTTCTGTTGAAAAATAATCTAGGTTTGTTGGAAAAAGAAAGTAAATTCAAGTGGACATCATATAAAATTTTCTGCATTGAATAATGCCTGAATGAGATCCTATTTACACAAAAAATTGCTCTGTAGTCGCATGAGAACTTAACATGCCTAATATTTTGCATGACTGAAGTCTTAACGAGAACTTGATTTACAGATGACCATAGAATGAATTGCTATTTCCCAAGGTTGGACACGAGGTAAGAGGATTCCTACCTGAAGCAGAACCTTTCCACTGTAGACACTCATAGGATACATGGTGCCAAATGTCATAACTGCAATGGCTATAGCTGAGGCTGTGTCCACAGCAAAATAATTACTGAAAATAGAGACAAAAATAACTGGGGGTCAAAAGATCATAATACACTTCTCATAGCTAGTTAAAATACCAAATGCAGTTTAACACAGATAAATGTGAGGTAAATGTACTTTAATCAGCTTATGACCCAGACTTTAGAAAGTAAGGTTGGCAATTTTCTCTCCCTGGAGGTGGCAAGGGAAAATAATGGGATGAGTTAGCCCTAGAGTGAAACTCATCCTCTTCTGACCACCTGAGTAACTGAGAGCTAAATGAGGAGGTCCGATCAGGACTTTCTGTACTTGTTTGCAATTAAAGCTCTTAAACTATTCAATAAATTGCAACTTAAGATGTCTCATCTGGCACCACCCCAAATGTTTGCCTCCCTGAGGGTGAGAAAGGTGGCTAGTTTGTAGATCTGTCTGTCGGGAAGGGGGGGCGCAGTGAGCATGGAGCTGACCTCTAAATGCCACCCCTACTGTTGCCTCCCAACCTCCTTCACTCTATCAGATGATAAAAATGACTGACCTTCTTGCAGCTGGATCCCAAGGAAATTGACCTTGACTGGTGGGTTTTTGGATCCAGAAGCTGCCTGCCTCTGATTGGTCAGCAGCTTCTGTTCACTCAGGTTGATAGTGCTGAAGTCTATGATAGGGTGAGATACTCATCCTCACTCACCTGTCAGCTCTTAATGAGCTGATTGGGCGATTTACCTTTGTGGTTGAGGTGGCATATTAGTCACCATCTAGAATGCAGAATCTCAGAATTATTACAGCATAGGATGATGACATTCGAACAATTGCATCTGCATTGGCTGTCTCAATGAGCAACTGACCCTGTGTAATTCCCCTGCCTCCTTCCTGTAATCTTTCACATTATTCCTTTTCAAATAAAAGTATAATTCCCTTCTGATGCCTTGATTGAGCCTTTGTCCACCAAACCCTGAGACAACACATTACATACTAACCTCAACCACTGATACACACCTGGCCCCAGTTAGAAAACAAAAATGGGAAAATTTTGTTCGAAGAAATTGACAGGGAAATGAGCAAAGGGATCAAGGGATACAACTGAATAAACATATAAGCAAGATTACAGGTCAGTACATTAATTAGAAATTTTAACAAAATACTAGAATATCTGTGGGTATACAGAAACATAGAAACTCGGAGCAGCAATAGACCGTTCAGCCTTTTGAGTCTGTTCCACCATTCAAAATGATCATGGCTGGGCATCCAACTCAGTACTCTGTTCTTCCTTTCTCGCCATATGGCTTTTAATCCCTTTAGCCCTAAGACTCCTTCTTGAAAACAGTGTTTTGACCTCAATGCTTTCTGTAACTGAGAATTCCACAGGCTCACCGCTCTCTGGGTGAAAATTTCCTCCTCATCTCAGTCCTAAATGACCTACCCAACATCCTTAAACTTTGACCCCTGATTTTGGACCTTCTAAATATAGATGGTGTTAGGGCTTTAATTCAAAAGTAGTGAAGCTATGTGAAACGTGAATAGGATCTAACAAGGACACAAAAAGAACCACTGCAAACATTTATAAGGATGGTAGCAGAACTGGGAAAATTTAGCTATTTGGAAAGATTTAAAAGATTACAGCTTTTTTTCATTAAGAAAAGGACAACTTAGAGGTGACCTGATGAAGCCTCAAAAGTTATGAATGAGGTGAGCAAAAGACAGAAATAGAATCTTTCAAATTGTAGAATAATTCAAAACTAGGAGCCATCAAGGCAAGATAAAAATTCAAAAGTAAAATAGAAATTTTTAAAATTTTACTCGAGTGGCTAGAACGTAGAATTCACTGTCACAGATGCGGTTGAAACAAACAGATTAGATGAACACTAGATGAGCATATGAAAGAAAAGGGATTAGAAAACCTAGCTGAAAGGCTAAGGTGAGGTGGATGGAACAGTAGGAGATTTATTTGAAGTATAAACATCAGCACAAACTATTTGTGCTGTATATTCCATATAACATAGAATATCTGAACATAGGAATTAAAGGAGATTAGAGTTTGGGAGGAGGCAAGGCTATGAAGGGAAAAGCATAGGTTACTAGAGAGTTTCAAATTTACAACTGGCTAGAGTGTCAAGCTGGTCAACAAAGGCATAAGTGAAGGCAAATATGACGGAAGAGTGCGCAGATGAGCTTTGGATAAATTGGAGTTTACAGGAAGGGGAGGATGCCAAGCCAGCAAATATTACATTTGGTTAACGGGGCCAAAAATGTGAATAAGAGTTTTAACAACAGATGGCTTTGACCAAGGAGACACTAAAACTGAAACAGAAGTGGGAAATGTTGTGGAGGTGAAAATGAGCAATCTTGGTGATTAATAAAAATCCAGGCTTGAAGCTGGATTTAGAACTGATCAAACTGTCAAAGTTTTATATTGCTTGGTTCACTCTAAGAAAATGGTTGGGAAAAAGGAGGTAGTCAATGGCAAAGGAACAGAGCTTTTGACACAGGCCACAAATAAAGATTTCAGTCTTCTTGACGTTCGGCAGGAAAGATTTGACCAAATAATGCTGTTTTATTCATTTATGAGACGTGGGTGCTGCTGGCTGCCCAGAATTTATTGCCCATCCCTAGTTGCCCTTGAGGTAGTGGTGGTAAGCTGCCTTCTTGAACCACTGCAGCCTATTTGACCATAATGCCCTTAGGGAGGCAATGCCAAGATTTTGACCCAGCAACAGTGAAAGAACGGCGATATATTTTCAATTCAGGATGGTTAGTGGCTTGCATGGACACTTGCACGTGGTGGTGTTCCTATGTATTTGCTGCTCTTGTCATTCTACATGGGAGTGAGTGTGGGTTGAAAGGTCCTGTCTAAGGATCTTCAGTGAATTTCAGCTGTGCATCTCGTAGATAGTACACACTACCTCAACTGGGTGTCGGCAGAGGGAGTGGATGTGGGACCAAACAAGTGCACTACATTTGTCCTGGGGGTGTTGAGCTTCTGGAGTGTTATTAGAGCTGTATCCATCCAGGCAAGTGGCCAGTCAAAGGCGATTAGGAAGGATATTACTAAATTGACGAGGGTTCAGAAAAGATTTACCAGGATGTTGCTGGGAATGGAGGATTTGAGTTATAAAAATAGGCTGGACAAGCTGGGACTTTTTCCACTGGAGAATAGGAGGTTGAGGGGTGATCTTATAGAGGTTAATAAAACCATGAGGAGTATAGATAAGGTGAATAGCAAGGGTCTTTTCCCTAGGGGAATTCAAAACTAGGGGTCATATTTTTAAGGTAAGAGGAAAAGGTTTTAAAAGAGACATGGGGGCAACTTTTTTTTTTTTTTTTAAACACAAGGAGTGCTTCGTGTATGGACTGAACTGCCAGAGGAAGCAGTGGATGCAAATATAGTTACAACATTTAAAAGACATTTGGACAAGTACATGAATAGGAAAGGTCTGGAGGGATATGAGCCAAACGTAAGCAAGTGGGACTAATTTAATTTGGGAACATGTTCAACCAAGAGGTCTGTTTCCATGTCGTATGACTCTATGACTATTCCAACACATTCCTAACCTGTGCCTTGTAGATACTGGGTGGGGTTTTGGGGAGTAAGAAGGTGAGTTACGTGTAGTATTCCTAGCCTCTGACCTGTTCACATAGCCACTGTGTGTATGTGGTGAGTCTGATTGAGTTTCTGGTCAGTAGTAACACCTAGGATGTTGATAGTGGGGGATTCAGGGATGATAACACCACTGAATGTCAAGGGGTGATGGTTAGATTGTCTCTTATTGGACATGGACATTGCCTGGCATTTGTGGGGTACAAATTTAAATTGCCATTTGTCAGCCCAGCCCTGGATATTGTCCAGATCTTGTTGCATTAGAACTTGGACTGCTTCAGTATCTGAGGAATCGTGAATGGTGCTGAACATTGTACAATCATCAGCGAACATCCTCACTTCTGACCTTATGACAGAGGGAAGCTCATTGATGAAGCAGCTAAAGATTTTTGGGCTAGGACACTACTCTGACGAACTCTTGCAGAGATGTTGCAGAGTGGAAATGACTGACCTCCAATAACTACAACCATCTTATGTGTCACATATGATTCCAACCAGCAGAGTTTGCCCCCTGATACCCATTGATTCCAGTTTTGCTAGGGCAATATAGAGCTGATTGTAGGTTTAAAAGAAATGCCTGAAATAGGAAATGGATGCCATTGACATGAGACACTGATGTCAGCCATACCTGGAGATAATATCACTACATGCAGAACAGGAAGAAAAACAACACAAAAATGAAATAGGAGACAGCTAAGGATAGATCATTCGTGGAATTCAAGAGGCACAAATCAGACTTGAAAACAGAAAACCAGACTTGAAATGGTCTTATTACATGCGTAGAACCAGGCAAGGACAGTTCCTTGAAATTGGACAGTGAAGAGGACACAAGGAACAAGACAACTTGGTCAACTGCATTACTGTTGTGGTAGACATCAACAAAGACAAAGGATAAGTCAACATTATTTATGTTTTAATACATTAAGAAGTTTAATTTAAACATGTTATTGCATTTAATAATATCCATTAATGGCCTATTTCCATATTTCTCAAGGATGAGGTTCAGTATGGAACTTCCAATCCACATTACTTACTTTATTTCAATCAGCATGTAGGTGACGCAGAGTGCCAGTGCTCCTGCGAGGTCAATTAGGACAAATGGGTTCATGCGAGGAAGCAAAATGCTGCTTAAACTTGGAATTATTCCACATAAACTGGAAACAAAATATAATGTGGTTTTAAAGATAATCCATTCTGAAACTTTTTAAAATATATTTTGTCAATTGAATCTTCCCAAGTACAATATTTTTCAGTGCTCAGCTACCTCATGAACAGACAACAATTTTTTGCTTTATCCCATACCATTAATTACTCCAAGTAACTGATTCCATGAGCTCTAGTTCCTCCATCACTCATTAGGAGCTGTACAAGAGTGGCCATGTGGGCTTGTTCTCAATTTCCTTCCTGCAGCAAAGTGCTAAAATTCACCACTTCCCAGCATGAATAAATTAGCAACCCACATTTGGTACACATTGGCTGGTAAATTGCATGGGACTGCATTGTTGCAGCTAATGCACTCCAGCATCATTTTAGCTAAAAAAAAAAATACTAAATGATTTGCCACACCCCCGTTTCTTGCACATGTGTATTTATGATCTGACACCATGTGAGACTTAAATTCACAATCAAGTTTAAATACATGGAGATGATTAATATTTATAGAGATGGCAAACATTTCAATTTATACTACTGCTTCCTCCAAACCATTCACAAGATAATAGGGAATGGATCCTTGGGAGTGATTGAGAGGTAGTAATCTGACCCAAGGACACAGATGATGTAATAATTTTTAAGAGTGAAGCTTTAGTGCTTTATAATTATCTGAATACAAAGATGAAATTACAGCCTTGAAATTACTCTAGGGTATTTAATTTATGCCTTGTAAATGCACATAATGTATTAAGTATATTCAACTTTCTGCTCCTGTTCTTACAACCTGTGTCGATGGCTACTGTGCTTCATGTCATTGAAGCACAACAATATCCATGCTTAACAATTATTAAGCAATCATGTTAAACTTCGGACAAATGAAAATATTTACATAGACTTGCTGCAATGAAGTCTATGTGAAAAAATACATTTCTCTGAATCATAGGATACCTCACTGTGGATGAGGCAAAATTGTGACTGCAGCACAAACTGCAGAAACGTTTGATCTTTTAGCAGGTGATTTTGTAAATGTGCAGTCCACTGGGATGCCGCATGATCAGTACGCTCCTACTTGACAAGGTTCTTCATCCAAATCACATCAATCTGTCAGATTGTGAGGAAAGAACAAATTACAGCAACAATTACCCTTCAGCAACTTCAAAAATTTCTAATTTGCCATCTTGTAGTAAGATCAGGGTATTTAATTTGGGTTTTTTGAAGGTGGCTTAAATTACAACCTTCTGCACAATGATTCCTTTTGTGGCACAGAGACTTTACACCAGGCTTATAATGGCTGCAGGGATTCTGCTCAAATTACCTACACTAGCAAACCTAACTACCTTGATAACAGCCCTCAGGTTCACTCACTGGCTCTCAAATATATATCACCTACATATTGACAGAAAGTACAAGACAAATTCATTTCTGGCAATGTTGGTGCTACTCTCTTCTCTGGGTCAGCAGAAGACTGCATGAATCAACATTTCTGTGATTTCCAAATGTACTTTTCTTTCTATGAAAAAAAAGGATTTGTTTTGGTCTCCTGGCATAATGGATTCATTTCCTGTTGGAGAGAAAGAAATTGATAGCATAATTGTGATTATCCATTATTACTTGCTACTTTCAAAAGCTGCTTGATTGAACAGCATATTTTACAACTGCATACTTACAAAACCAGTAAAGCTGAACACATCAATAAACTGTCAACGTATCAGTGGTCGACCAATATACAGACAAAAAGGTCATGGACCTGCAATGTTAACTCAGATTTTCTCCATCGATGCTGTCAGACGTGCTGTGCATTCCCAGCAAATTTTTGTTCTCATTTCTAAATCATTCCTACCTTCGGCTTAGATCAGCAACATGTTCCTGGAGCCAACTTGTACTAGCAGCTGCAAAGACAGAAAGGTCCATTATATTTCTTGTCTTATTGTCTGAAAATGAGCACCCTGAAGAACTACAGGCTGAATCAAGAAACTGTGTCTTCCTATAACACAATAACTGTTTTAGTTTCTCAGTACTACAGAGAAGGTTTCTTTCCTGGTGTGGCTGACTGCGGAGAGATCATTTGATTAGAACATAATTCTGATTATCCATAATCCTTAGTTTTCCCATTAAAACAGTTTTATTATACTGCATGTGTTATGATTACATCTTGACAAAACCACTAAAGCTGGAAAGATCAAGAACATGCCAACTTTTCAACTACCTGTTACTAAGCTGCATAGAATACACCTGACTCTAATGAAATTAACACGTACATATAATAGAAGAATATGCATTGCCTGAAAAGACAAATTAAAGTTACTACTCATCGTAACGTAGTCTGTCTCTTCAGGAAAAGGAATTTGATTATTTTGTCTATATTTCTACTTTTTGATTTTAAATATTAATTAATAATATTTTGATTTTAAATGGGAAGATGTTTCCAGGATTTCATGCTTGAATTGAGACACGGTTACACAACCATAAATAAAAGCAATACACTGCGGATGTAGGAAATTTAAAACAAAAACAAAGCACTAGAGAAACTCAGCAGATCTGGCAACATCTGTGGGAGGGAAACAGTTAATGCTTCAAGTCTAGTGTGACTCTTTTTCAGAATTCTGAAGAGGAGTCATACCGGATTCGAAACATTAACTCCATAGATGCAGTCAGACCTGCTGAGTTTCTCCAGCACCTTCTGTTATTATACAATAATTTTTCTTTAAAATATGATTTGTCAGTTGTGTATTTTCATTATTTGCTGTTTCACTTTATGGCTTTTGCAGGTCAATTGCAAGAGAAAAAGAAACTGAGGTGATTGTCCAAGTGCCACTTACCAATGTCTCCAACAGTGGAGAAATATATTCAGCACAAATTCTATGTACTGGAAACCACATCTATTAATGTGCAGCACCCTGTTTTTTGCAGACAGAAGGAAAATGCACTACACCTATTTCAACTGAACAAAACAGGTGACCATTTTCTAGTTTGTTATTCAGGGCAATAAAAATGAATCTGCCTGGTTTAAAAGTTATTCAAAGCCTGTTTGTTGATTATCAATAATCATTAATTAGTACATTTTCCCCTGGAACACCTGTACAAATCAGAGTCTATTTGCCATCCAATCAGTGCTCTCCTCTCATGTAGTATAAATGTTCGTTTTCCCCTTGAATTGGTATTCTTGTGAATTGCAAGGCAGAAAGCTTCAACAAAATAAGTCCTTTTTCAGCAATATTCAAGTTCAAGTTCAAGTTCAAGTTCTTTACTGCCTATGCTGATTAATATAAAATGTAATGTTTTATTCTAAAACCATTGTCAAGTCTGATCAGATTTCAGCTCACAAAACATTTGTTTTCACAAACCTACATTTGTGCATGGAAACAAGTAAAAAGATTTTTGTTTGTGTTTCTGAGGAGGTATTACTTTCAAAACCAATAACATATGTCTTCAACCTGTTTTCAAAGCTGCAGTTCAAAGGGTCGGCTCTTTCGGCTATGTACCATATACACTAATGACAGAGAGAGTCCAACCATCACCCTATCTTTAAAGCAACTCTGAGAGTAAGTGGACCATTTTCTAATGTCTGTTTCACTATTGGGGTAATGCCTTAACTCTGTGGTAGTTGCTCGCATTCATATTGGATACTACATTAATTCACCAATTCTTTAAGCTACATCAGTACTCATTGCACTTTCCCCATCTCTGGCATAATTTTTGGAAAACTAAATTGATGGGGGTGTGGGGAGGAAATTTGTGATATCACAACAAGGTCATTAATTAGCTATTAAACACTGTAGCTTTGTTTCTCTTTCTTCAACATTATATAGAGGGAATGGTGACCGCCTGGTATTCATAAAGAAATAGGCAGCTATTTCATTAGTCCCATGAGTGCATCTCAGTATCCAACCATTATTCAGTTTTGAGTACTGTTGAACGTGATGCTTCATTTGTGGAGTGCAGACATAGAAATGTCCAAGCAGCATAGCTCCTTTTTTTTTTTTTTTTTAAAATAGTAGACATACACTTGCCCCCTCCAATCTATGCTCCAGAATGACTACCAATGCACTGAATTATTTCCAGGGCCATTTCCTTTAGTACACTGAAGTGTAGATTATCAGGCCCTGGTCATTTATCAGACTTGAACCCCATTATTCCCCCTATTTTCTTACTAATAGCGATTTCTTTCAATTCAAAGTTTTGGCAAAGACTTGTTACTTGGGTTGTGGGGGAGGTTGTTAACTTGCTCGCTGAGCTGGCTTGTTCTCATTCAGATGTTTTGTCATCATGCTAGGTGACATCATCAGTGGAGCCTCCGATGAAGCGGTGTACTTCTACTCCACTTGGAATTTGTACTGTTTGGTCCAGTATGGTGAGTAGTGTCATTTCTGGTTTTGATCTGTATGGGTTGGTATATGGGGTCCAATTCTATGTGTTTGTTGATTGCATTACAGGTGCCTCTAGGAATTCCCTGCGCGTCTATGTTTGACTTGGGCTACTATGGTTGCCTTGTCCTAGTTAAACAGATGGACTTCATTGTCTGAGTGTACTGATATTAAGGAGAGTTCATCGTGCCATTTTGCTGCTAGTTGATGTTCATGTGTTCTGATGGCTAGTTTCCTTCTTGTCTGTCTGATGTAATGTTTGTGGCAGTTGTTGCATGGTATGTTGTAAACCATGTTGGTTCTGTTATGTTGTGGGAATGGGGTCTTTAATCCTTGCAAATTTTTGTCGTAGAGTGGCTGTGGGCCACCACGATTCCTAGTGGTCTTAGGAATCTTATTCTCAGTTCCAATATTTTCTTGATGTATGGCAGTGTGGCCAGTTTTTTAGGGCATACTGTGTCCTCCTGTTTTTGTCTGTTTAGTAGGCATCTGCGTATGAAGTTGCGGGGATATCCGTTTATAGCAAGGATTTTGTGTAGGTATTCGAATTCCATTTCCACTTGACACACAGCCTTACGTGCCTTGGCATCACAAGTGAATATCTAAATTCTTCTTAAATGTTATGAGCGGGCCTCCGCTATACTTACGGGCAGAGAGTTCCAGATACATGCTACCCTCTGGGCAGAAAAAAAATTTCCTCACAACTTTCTGAACCTCCTGACCCTTACCTTAAATCTATGCCCTCTGGCTATTGATCTCTCTACCAAGAAGAAAACTTTCATTCTGTCTATAATTTTATACATCTCAATCATGTATGTGCGCCCTCATAATTTTATACATCCTAATTACGCGTCCCCTCAGTCTCCTTGGCTCCAAGGAAAATAACCCCAATCCATCCAATCACTCTTCATACTTAAAACTCTTCAAACCACACAACATCCTGGTAAATTTCCTCTGCAACCTCTCTAGTCCAATCACATCCTTCCTAAAATGAGGCTTCCTGAACTGCACACAATATTCTAACTGTGGTCTAGCCAACTTTATATATAGTTCCATCATAAAGTTCCTGGTCTTAAATTCCATGCCTCAACAGATAAAGGCAAGTATTCCCATATGCCTTCTTAACCATTTTATCTACCTGTCCTGCTGCCTTTCGGGTCTAGTGGACATGTACACAAAGCTCCCTCTGATCCTCAGTGCTTTCCAGGGTCCTACCATTCATCATGTCCTCCCTCGCCTTGCTTGTCCTGCCAAAGTGCATAACCTCACACTAAGGTGTATTGAATTCCATTTGCCACTGATTAGCCCATCTGACAAGTTTCTCAATATCCTCCTATAATCCACACTTTTTACTACCCCACCAATTTTCATATCAATACTTGTATATTCAAGCCTAATTATTTAAATACAACATAAACAGCAAAGGCTCCAACATGGATTTCCTGCAGACCCCACTGGACACAGGCTTCAAGTCACAAAAACACCCCTTGACCATCACCTTCTACTTCCTGCCACTCAGCTAATTCTGGATCTAACTGGCAAATTTCCTTGGATCCCATAAGATCTTACCTTTGCTATCAGTCTTTCATGTGGGACTTTATCAAAAGCCTTGCTGAAGTTCGATAGACTGTGTCAAATGCATTACCCTCATCTACATTCAAGTTGGTCAGACATGCTCTCCCCTTAACAAAACAATGCTGACTGTTATAGAGTCATACAGCACAGAAACAGACCCTTTGGTCCAACCAGTTCATGCCGAACATAATTCTAAACTAAACTAGTCCCATCTGTCTTCTCCTGGCCCTTACCATTCCAAATGCTTCTTTAAGTGCAGATTAATTGTGTCCCTCAGAATTGCTTCCAATAGTTTCCCATCACGGAGGTTAGACTGACTGGCTGTTGTTTCATGGTTTAACGCTTGCTCCCTCATTAACAATAGTATCACATTTGTAGTTAGTTTGATTTGTCCAATTATAAATAAATGAAAGTCACCCACGATTACACATGTACCTTTATTGTAGTCATCTCTGAATTCTTGTTTAATGTCTTCCCTTATATCTCCACTACTCCCTACTGAGTAGGGGCCCACAGATAGCCCCCCAACAACACCCCTTGGTGTCTCTCATCTCCACTCATACAGATTCAACAGCATGATTTTCTGAGCAAATATCCTTTCTAAGTATTGCATTGGTTTACACCTTTATGAACAATGCTACCCCATCATATTTTCCTTTTTGCCTGTCCTTCTGAAACAATGAATTCCCTGGATATTCAGTTCTCATCCTGAATCACTTTGCAGTCATGCCTCATCACAACTGTTTATGCCTATTTGCTTGTCTAATTTATTCACTTTACTGTGAAGGCTCCATGAATAAAGACACAAAACCTTTTGACTTGTCTTTTTAACCTTGTTAGTCATCTTAGCTTTATTTTGCACTACAGCCTCATTTGTTTCTCATCCTTACTTTTACTGCCTTCCATTTTTGCTTCTTACCTTACTGTCTTTTGTTTCTATCTTGTTTCTC